CCACAACCAAACATATCTACCACCTTCATTGGTAGGTCCAGGCCAGAAGATGAGCTATGAAGAGATATACCGAGGTCCGCCGAGCCTGAAAATACCGTGTAAACGCTTGAATAAATTTCTGATATACGACGCACCGAGCAGCACAGGATAGTCATCTGGTTCGAGCCAAACACTTGCACAGCGCACCCATTCCCACTTTTGGGACTTCTCTCTCCGTGCAATCTCGGTCATATACGAGTTCCTCAATGGCCCTTTGCCAGTGATCAATGCAAGAAGTTTAGGCAACCGTCCAGCTTTGGCACGCTGCTCGTATTTTGTGAGGGCATCCAACAAAATCGAAAAATCTTCATCTGGGGTCCAAGATGTACTGCTGACTATGAGTGCGGGACGGTCATCGCGAAGTATCACCCCAGAAGATACAGCATATATGGGGTCGTATTCGGCTGGGAGCGAAGATGTGGGCTTTGTGAATGAGGTGGAGCTAGGACCTTGCGATTCCGGTAAGAAGAACTGGATAGATGCTGGCAGAGAAGGCTGAAGTCGGCTGAACAGCTACAAGCGTGTCAGACTTGTGGTTATAAGTCGGCTTGCTAACTCACATCGTGAATCTCAGCAGGGTTTGAACGTCGGAAATGTGTCGGGGGTCGGTCGTGTAGGGTCAATGTCTCACCTCTGAAAGCCATAAGTAAGGCGCTCTATATTGGCTTGAAAGCTTACATGAGGTCCCATTCCCTAACTAGCTTGTTCTTCATTGCGTTCGTGACGAAAAGGTGCAGATATGCGCGGCGTCCGAATGTGTGTTCAATCCTGCGATCTCGTCAGCCAGTGTTTCATCGATAGAAGTGACTCACGCTTTAGCCAGCTTGACCAGTACGTGTTTCTTTCCAAGACGCAGAGCCAGAATACTATACCCCAGGTTGTGCCAATCAATCACGAGTTTTGATCCACGAAGCCAACAAACAATCTGAACAAGTACGAGGGTAGGAATCGACGGAGGATTCTATTGCTGCGTTGGTAACTTGCTCTGCGGTCAAGTAGCGTCTTACCTGCACCATGATGTACTCAGGAGTTGGGATGGTTACTAGTAACGTCCAGAGGATCGAAACGGCCTGGATCAGTAGCTTGAGTGGAGCGGCGAGTATAAAAAGCTGTTGCGGTAAAGACGTAATGAATTTTGGTGGGGGCGTAAGAGACGACATCGTCAAATTCGGGAGCTCTCTAAGAGCCTTGATTAATGTCGAGCCTACATCGAATTAGGCAACTTCACAGAATATGTCCGGACTTACCAGAATACCCTACTAAGTATGTATTAAACTGATTTTCGGCCAAGCTCTGAGCATGGTACATCATCCGTGGACTCCTACCAACATCTCCGAGGACCAGAACAGCAATTGAACGTCGAACTGGGGACTTTTGTCGACGAAACAAGAAGAATAACAGCGCGATAACAGATATCAACACAGTAGGTTCAAGCGAGTAGAGGGTATTCATTCCAGTCAAACGAGCGAGGACGATGTGAGAAAGGTATTGGCATTCACGTGAACCAATCACATGCTCGGAAGACACCCGGAAGACGTGGCATTGCGCTCCCACCAAAGTTGGCATGAAGTATGCGTACCAACACGCCTCTCTAGAGAAACGCTACCCTACGATACTCCAATGTTTTCGGAGCTTCTACCATATACTATAGACAGAACGCCTTATCCGTAACTTTAGGTTCCGACATTATTGTTCGGGGTGACCTATGGTCGCGAGTTTAGGGGAGGTCGAGGCGCGAACATAAATAAGCGCCACACAAACAATTGTCCACCCCCAAACTTGACCGCCATGTCTAAAAGAAACGCCTCAAGCACTCTAAGCCATAGCCCTCTTACTTCAAAGGTATCCAAGGTAATTTATGCTGCCGATGGCGAGCTATATTCGTCTCTAGTTTTGTTCTAATCTCGCTCGCTCCTAGATTCTAGAGCCCTGCCCCACCCCGCTCGCACCTGGCCTCGTTCGCGCGCCAGCTCTTGAGGGCAAAACGCATCGTGAGCTCCTCCTCACTCATAAATGCCTACATAACCACCCTCCAGAACGGAAGCTACTCGGAATAGCAAATCTCAGGTAGCTACTCCTCAAGACCTGTACAAGGTCTACTATACAAACACATCAAGAGCCCATGACTGTGTCTCTGGATATCTGTAACCAGGTTACTCCTAACTTGGAGGTAGAAGCTACAATCTTTTGACTTTATTCTGAACCACAACACACAAGGCGGGTTGAGTAGTATCTTTCTTATGGACAGATCAAGCAATTACATGTCATCCCGTACGCCTCAGCCGGCCCACCCCTGCACATCGTTTAGGCTTTCGTTTGACTTTTGAGTTCAGGTTTTGAGAGACATTTCGTGCTGTTATCAAAGCTACATTCTGTCGAATAGCAGTTAGTATCGAAGCTCACATCTACCGACTACTTACCTTTCGCAGGGCGGACCAGCCTCCGACGCCTTTGCTCGCTCTTCCTCTCCGTCTCGCTCGTCACTCCAGGCAGCCTATCCACGTGTGTAGACAGACGCGTGACGATCCCACCGATGCGTTCATGCTCGGCGAGACCTCTGTCGATCCACAGGCTTGTCCGGTCGACGTTACCAGTCCGCCGCGGTCGTTTCAGCGCAGTCCACAGCCATTGTGGACGCACGACCTGTATGCGACTGTCACTGGTCGTTCCGCTCGGACTGCCGCTCGGCGCCGACGAGATGCCCGACCGCACCCCCGAACCCGAACACAAGACCTACCGGGCGCACAGAGGGCCTCCCGGCGTCGGTCAAGGTCGACCCCGGTACGTGCTGGGTGGTCGGGAACTGGTGCGACGTTTTGTCCAAGCCGAATCGCCGGTCCGGGTTGCGCTGATCGCGAAGGCAGCCAAGTATACGTACCCAGCGCAGGATGCGGGCAGACCAGGGACCGACGGTCGGGTTATAGGCGAGCGGTGCACATGCAGAGACGAGTGCTGAACAGACCAGTCAGTACAAGTAGCGAATTAGTAGCGAATAGACGTACCGGTTGGAGTAGGAGTGAGCGAATGAATAGGTACAGGTGCAAAATATAAGGAACTAAATAAGTGTCAAGAAAGATAAGGACGAGAAGCGCAAGAGAATTAAGAAATTGAGAGAAAAGCCAACTATTAGGTTTATAGATGAGATGGTGGAGCTAGTCGAGTGATGTTATGGGTAGCTTGAGCATAATTAACCAAAGTTCGCGGAGGCAGTCCTCGAGGCTTACAGTGATTGGCATATGCATGCACGAGTCTTGATGAGGTGAATACTGGTATCGGTAGGTAGTCTAAATGTCTGAAGGTTAGTTACACGCATATCGATACGAGAATGCTACATCACTGACCGGTAACATGGATACGAATGCGAACATGAGAGAGTAAGCCCGGGTCAGGAGAGGTCGAGTCTACAGGCCCGGATAGGGGTCGGTCGTAGCTACTGGAAAGGCCGAGCGAAAAGTACTTACAGTTCGTTCGGCACGAGGGCGTCGCAGGCCAATAGGTGGCACGAGTACAGCCTCAAGGGTAGTACGCTGAAACATAAGATGAGTCTGGATAGAGGAGGATAAGTTCAAGAATGTCCAAGTCGCTTGACTTGACGCAGTGACCTACCTGAGCGCAGTCGGGCGTCATCGATATTTGAGGACAAGTGCGAAGAGGCGTAGGACGACGCGGCACATGGTAAGATAAGATAAAGTAGAGAGTATAATAGAGTAGGGTAGAGTAGGGTAGAGTGGAATTGAAGTATAGGTGGAGAGAGGATGGAGGACGAGGTGAAGTCGATTCTTCACCCCTCACATTTCTCTTATACCCCTGAGCAGCGGCCCGTGCACTACAGCCCCCTATCCACTTGGCTTGGCATCTATTTCCGGCGGCCTGCCCTAAGCTCTTGGGAGCCGCCGACCAACACAGTTCCCGCCCGTATTCCCTGAACTCGGCCGACATATCGTCATACCAAGCCAAAAATAAGATAGGGGAAGTGGAGTATGTCTTGACGTACTAGCAAGAGCTGTCGTTGTCGACGAATTTAACATCTAGCGGGTTGAAACGAGCGTCGTGATACGCCCATACGTATTTATGCGTGTTTCGGCTATGTGAGCACGAAGTGTTTAGTGAAAATGGTTGAGTTTACGCGCATATATCCTCTTCGCGTCATCCTTGGCATTCCCAAATTAGTATTGGGGCTGCGCCCTGCTTGAAGAGTTGATTGTAAGTGCAGGAATCGAGTCGTCGATACTAATTCAGAAAAGGTTCGATTCAATTGACCCAAACGACCTTGCTCAAACAAGAATGGCAGCGTTTTCATGAAGCTTTACGCTCAAGCAAATCTGGCCATCGATTGTCCACTTTAAGATCCTCTGTTACATACTTGAATACCTGAAAATCCATCACAGCCTCTCGTTCACCTCCACACCCTCAACGCGTCCAGCACCCTCCTCACCCTTTTTCTTCCCGCTCCCCCCAAGCCCAAATCGTCCACCCCAGGCTTTAGCGTTCTTTTTTGGATCGCCTTGCCCAAACCCCACGTTCCGTTTGTGCAAAGCAAGGAAACAACAGTGATTGTAATAATTTTTCTACACCACCCGCTAAGCTCATCATTTTCTCTAGACTCTAGCAACAAAAAGCCTTCCGCGAGCTAGTACCACCATAAATAAGGCGCATACATCCTCTCACTCCGTCTCTAGACCATAAAGAAGATGAAGGACGGCTCGCTTTATCATAGCGGGTAGTTCAACCTTCTAACATCCTGTGATATGGGAATGACCTCTGCAGGTGTTTCATAGTAGCTAAAGTACACTAGCATACGTTCGTGTGGCTTATATAGAAGTGACTAATACATAACGGACCCTAGTACTCTCCTAAACTGTCAGCATGTGCCAGCGGATTGAGAGAGTTGGGCTTGAACTGGGCCTTGATTACTACTACAGGAATCACTATATATACGTTTGAGGGGCTGGCTTGAGCATGGCGGTTTAGCCAAGCGGTCTAAGGCGCCAGACTAAGGCAATCACGTGACTGCTGACGTAATCTGGTTCTTCGGAGCGTGGGTTCGAATCCCACAGCCGTCATTCTTTTTTCTGCTCTAAAGCAAGCATAAAAAGCATCCAAGCTACAGCTTCTTACAAAAATCGAGCCCACAACTCCGAACGCCCGTATCTCCGCGTGTAGTTAAGCTAATTTTAGATAAAAAAAAATACCATGATGTAGCCCCTTATACGGGCTATCTTTCAAGCATAAGAGGGCTCCAAAGGAGTAAGAAACCAGTGAGATATACATGATTCAAAACAGGAGGCTGTTGTAAGAGGTTTTGTCCCCTCAAACACCCACTTGAAAGAGTCAGCTATTCCTCAAAATAAATGTAAGGTGGAGACATGCAGATAGCTGAGGCCTGCTAGTACTTAGAGTACCTTAAATGAGCAGAATATCAAGTCATTTAGTGGCCTCTGTATGGCAGGCTAATAACAAGTACCTTAGCATGTACAGGAAAGCAGTATACCAGCCACATCATACATTTATGCACCTCCAGCTACATATAAATGAGCTTAGATAGATCAGAGTGACCCTATAAGCTACCTTGAGTAGACTACAGGGTGCATATATACACTCAAGGCTATACAATGGGTTGGAGATGGTGCATACAGGCAGCAGTGGGCGCTTATATTCACACACTGCTCCCCACAGACAAAGAGTTGAGAGACAAAAAATGTCTTGCATTATACCTTGAGCAGTATCCCTAAACAACTACACCACATGAAATAGCTCCAGAGGGGGCAAACCCTCCTAACACACTCCAGAAAGTTTCTTCTTGCTTTTTCCCTATGCTTTTGAGCTAAAAAACTCTTGTCCAGTCCTGTAAGCCAACCAACTCGCGTTTTCAATCTTTAATAGTGTCTCGTCATTCATACCTGCGTAGTCACACGCAATCACTCGAAGCCCTTACTGGATGCATAGAACAGCGTTTCACGAGAAACGCGCGCATCGACCCCCTCGAGTGGATTGTATCAGCGATCGTTGATGCCAAAAGGGTCAATCAAGTCGTGAGTTAATCATCGTTACTAAGGATATAGTTAGAAAACATAGAAAATGGAACTAGCCCAAATACCGACTTAAGACTACAGGACACCTTCACCATCCGAGTCCAGACGTGGGCCGTCACTAGAGAATGCAGCTAGACGAGAAAATATCGGAAAATGGAACTAGCCCAAACACCGCCTTTCACGATTACAATTAGTTGATTCATCGGCCGCACAACAATACATATCTATCTTAGGAGTCTTTTTTGAGCCCGGGCTACGAGGTCATTATACTTGTTTTACTCGGCAACCTTTGTAGACGCCTCCGCCACACCCTCCAACGACTTCTCCGCCGCATCCTCTCCTTCCTTTGCCTTGGAAAGTT